GTGGGACATGGAAGTATCAACATACATCTTTCTTGTAATCAGCTACCTTTATTTCAGTGGAACCCATAAAATATCTGTACTTTATATTTCTGCTCCCTGCATGGATTACCTTACATTTATCTGTGTTAAATTTCATCTGCCAAGTATCAGCCCATTCGCTAATTAAATCCAGATCCCGTTGTAGCCTCTCTGCTGCTAGAATAGTATCTGCTACACCACCCACCTTGGTGTTGTCTGCAAATTTAACCAGTTTACTGTATGTATTGGTGTCAATATCGTTAATGTAAATTAGGAACAATAGTGGTCCTAAAACTGAACCCTGCGGTACCCCACTATGAACGCAGGTCCACTGTGACATTGTGCCTCTAATATATACTTGCTGCTTCCTGTCAGTTAACCAGTTTTCGATCCAAGCTGCCACAGTTCCTAAAATCCCTGCAGCTTTGAGCTTTAGCAAGAGCCGTTTGTGGGGGACAACATCAAAGGCCTTCTGGAAATCTAAGTAGATCACATTGTAGGCCTTTTTGTGATCAATTTCACTTGTAGCTTCATCAAAGAACTCAAGTAGATTCATTAAACAGGATCTACCTCTCCTAAATCCATGTTGGCTATCCCTCAGAACGTTATTTGCATCCAGGTAATCTACCATTTTCACTTGGATTATAGCTTCCATTATTTTTCCAGTAATGCTAGTTAAACTGATTGGCCTATAGTTTCCTGGATTACTTCTATCCCCTTTTTTGAATATGGGTGTTATATTAGCATATTAGATTCATATCAGTAGGCACTTGATTACATCTCAGTGGTTGCACATCTCACACTCATTGGAGACCTCCTTACACAGCCTGAAAACATGTATTATCAATCTAGAGTAAACAAAAATCAGTGAGACTACTGTCATCTTTCTACTTTGGAAGACCTATAATCTATAATCCTTGATGTCATAACAACTTTCAGGTCTTCCCACCACATGAAGCTGCATTTTTCTCTGCAACAAACTCATGTTTATTGCACGGCAGTTTTTGTTGCTATTGTAATTTTGCTGCACATCTGAAATTATCATTCCAGCTTCCACAACCTAGACTAAATACCATTAAAGGTTTGAATCTATGCAATAAAATGTCTGATTGTTTTAACAAATAATTTCTTTTATTCGTCAAATTTTTTCCTGCAATGAAGAAAAAGAATTTTGAATTTAATGTCTTTTCAAATTTCACATTTCCCCTATGCTTTCTCACTCGTGTTTTCAGGTCCACATATGATAATAATATTGGGATTCCCAATAAATTCTAACCAGCTGATAGGAGAGTCAGTATCAGGAATGAGGTGAAGACTGAAGAGGACGACTGCAGCCGCTTTACCTTCACCCATTGGGACGGCAGAAGGTACACTCCACTCAGGCATGGCAGTGAGGCTGATGATCTGTAAATACATGGGTGACATGCATGATGGGTAACAGACACTCATCATCACGACATGTGGCAGGTAAAGCTCAATATCGGCCCTTTTTGACAGGGTATTTTAAAATAGAGTAATTAAACAAAGAGAATGATTGGTTTCTCACAAGATCTGCAGCCTTCCTTAGTATTATTGCAGTGCTCGGCCCTGTTTTGCCATTATACTCACCTCCTGGGATTACATCATGGTAATGGCATCTCTGCATGGGGTTCACAGGTCAAAGTGCCTAAAGGTGCATTGCAGTTACTCCAAATGCCACAGGACTCCTGCAGTAAGCAGAACTCTGCAAGCTAGAGTGAGAGAGGTGAACATCACTATGATTGAGATATTGATCCTTAACCTTGGTCCGTGGAAGCCGCCATGTCTGCCACATTTTCAAACAACTTCAACAAAGTTTTTCTCAGTTTGCGGGACAAAGTGAATGCAACTATAGCTAAACATAGCACATTCCATCTGGCAAACTGCAGCTAGGAATTGTATATCTGACATGGCCACTTTAACTGTAGATGGAGTTCATGCTTCCTTCGGATTTTTCCAGCTGCCCTTCCATCCTGTGCACTTCTTACCATCTACAGCCAAATGCATGGTTAGAATGTGCCATTGGTATGTGAGCAAATATACGACGATTAAAATTAATGCAATAGTGGTTTGTGCTCTAGTGACACAACCACATACTTTGTGAAGTGAATGCATAGATCTGTCTATGTTTAAGCACAGCAAAGCACTGATTAGCTATGCAAACAAAAAGAAAACCAAAAGAAAACTCATACAACAGAGCCATTTGTTTGTTTTTGTTTTTATCTCACTGGAATTCCCTGCTGTCTCTGACTGCTTTGTTACAGATCAAAATCTCCATTGTGATGGAGCACAAGGAAATTCAGCTCTCTTTGGCATTCTTCTTGTTTGACATGCTAGTAAAAAGGGCAGTTCTGACAACATTCTCAGATGGAACTCACTATGCACCCGGTGATAATTGGGATAGTCCCTCCATGAATTTGAAAGCTCCTGATTGCAAAAGTATACACACACAATGAAGTGCAAAGTTAAAATACTTTTTAAATGTGCATTGATTCACATTGACCCAATCAAGCCATTTGAATTGACTGTAAAAGGACGGACAAAAAGCAAATGGTGAGAAATCCCAGTGATGAATAGAATTTTTTGCACATGGTGAAAAAGCTGCTTACAGTGGAAGGAGAGTTTGTATGTGTGATGGAAATGCAATGCATTAAGAACAGAAAGAATTTAAAAGCCACCTATATTTTATTTTAGAAAACATTCCCTCAATACGAATGTTTCCTTTTAGTCAGCAGGCCTCCAAAATGCATAACTAGTTGGGTAAAAACCTTTCTCAAAAATGCAGGCATTTAGCTGTGTAATCAGCACATTGGAGTCCAAAGTTTGAAGCACAGAAGATGTTTCCAATTTAAAACTAAAAATTGTGAAACCCATTCTGTACACAAAACTGCCCAGATGACCTAGAGAATTGACTGGATAGATGTTATAGCCCATGGTTGAAATGTAACTTGATAAGAAGCTGCACTCTGTGTTGTATCTGGCAGAGATGACGTGTATTTCCAACAATGTAGGGCTGCAAAAAAAAAAAAAAAAAACAATTTTGACAATCTCTATCTCAAAATTATATTCAGGACTATTTCGCAGGATACTGACTTAAGATGACAGAAAATTTAATTTTGGTTAAATTTGTTGGTTTGGTCTTACGTTGACCCTCCTCAGACGAAGCCACGATATTTATCTTGCAAACAGCAAAAATGCAACCAGTTGATGACAAAATTTGTTGTCAGTAATTTTTATTACCCACTAATATTGATGTTATCGATTAGTCATTGCATCTCAATAGCAGTATGCAGTACCATCTCATTTTCAAGAGGAAGTAGAATTCATAGTCAAAATAATGCTAATTAAACCCTGTTCCTGGGTACTTGATTTAGAAAAACTCAAATCCTAAACAATGACAATTCAACTAACATCCTAAACGATGAGTGCTTCTCAATATAAAGAAAGCAAAGACCGTTCTTGTGGTCTTGGCAAGAGCAGTTTTGCTAACATGCATCCTAGTAACAAACTTGGGATGTAATGAATCATGGGATTGTTCTCGTTTGGTGAAGACTGATGCATTCTTGAAATTTGAAGCAGGGCAAGAACGACATCCAGGGATTTTTCCCATCGACTGTTCTTAGCATTTGAACCGGCAATGGAAGGTGAAACTGATAAAACAGATACGCAAAAGCCCAAGTATGTTAAAGTACACATACTGAAAAACAAGGAATGACAATGTACTCAAAATGGCTGCTTCAGTTATAGTTATATTACTCACCTGATTGCTGGAGTAAGATCTAAGACGGGCCTACAGTGGAGGTCTGAGGTGGGTGGTAAAGCCCCAGCAGACTGTTCAACTCCATAATGCGGGGTGTCACAAAGCTACATAACATTAGAACGCAAACTGTTAGCTTTTTGAACACTAACACACCACGGCCATTTCAAGAACCTGTGCTTAACGAGCACAGCTCTTAGCCTCTCATAGCTGTAATTTACTCATACAATGTAAACAGAAGGAAAATTGCATAATTTACTCTGTGGTTACAGAATTGACGACCAAAAAAAAAAAAATAACAACAAAAATTAAGATACATTATAACTTTCCAGCATAATAAAATGCATTTCAATTTAACCATGGAACACAATGAATATATACATTTTTACATTCATCTATCTTCCATAAGCACTTCTTCAATGAAAGGTCGCAATGTACCAGGAGTTTGCCACAGGCAACATAGGATACAAAACAAGGAAACAATGCGGAAAGGAGTCCAGGGGATTACAGGGATCACGCATGCATACACACAATCCTAATCCATGGGCGAGGTCTCAGTTCACCTGACTGCATGTGGATTATGGGAGGAAGCTGTGCATGGTCATGGTAAGTACATGCAGATCGCTCATATGACCCTGATGGTGAGGCAACAGGGCTACCCACTGATTCACTGCAGCACCAATACAAAGTTATTTTCTGAAAAATTTAAGCAGACTGTAAATCTTAAATACAAATATGGTTTTCAGTGGGATTCACGACTTTCAGGTGTCATGCTGGGAGATCCATTTGTGGCTAAAATTCAGCCTCTGTTCAAAGGCAACCAGGTTTTCAGTTGAAATGTCCTGATACTAAGCAGAGCTGATGAAGATATTAAACTTAACAAGGGTCTGGGTCAAATAAAAGTTAAATAGTTGTGTAACCCTAAAAGCCTGATCATATTTTACGGTAGATGCAATCTAGGTGGGCATATGCATCCAAACCCACCAGTGATGTCTATGGTCCATGGGTTCTGTTTTTATCTCCTTGGTTTCAATAAAAACTATAAACACTTAGACATCTTAGCTCATCAAAATAAATACCTTTTTGACAACCCTTCCAGTCAGCTTACTGGCATGGAGGTGCTGTATAACTATAAACAGGGACTCTGTGACCCCAAGATGCATCCAAGTTCTATAATTCAATAAATGTTCCTCCTTTCTGTTTCACAAATGTTTACTACACTTCTAAAGATTTGAAAGTTGTCCCTTGTAGAAAGAATTCTTTACTCATTGTACTCATTTCCATATTTGTAAAGCCATTAATTCTTTTCAATTTATGAATATTCTATTTTTCCCATTGTATAAGATCTAATGCATGTCACCCCATTTTGATTTTTTTGCATTTTACTTATTTAGAAGACCAAATCGATATCCTTTTTTTGTTGTTGTTGTTTTTGTATTTGAGAAAGCAGGGTCAGTCAGTCCTTAGAGCAATTGGGGGTTAAGGGTCTCCTTCAGGAAAGCACAGGTTATTAAGGTTATTAAGCACAGGTTCTTGAAATGGCAGTGGTGTGTTAGTGTTAAAAAAGCTAACAGTTTGCGTTCTAATGTTATGTAGCTTTGTGACACCCTGTATTATGGAGCTGCACAGTCTGCTGGGGCTTTACCACCCACCTCAGACCTCCACTGTAGGCACGTCTTAGATCTTACTCCAGCATCCTAACCCACACATAACCAGTACTCGAGTTGAGAGGGGATGAGGAGGAATGTCATCCCCCCTGAAATAAAAACAGTCAAAATCATCCCCCTTTTAAAACGAACGTTCTTTTTAACTCGGTTTTTTTAGTGAGCGGGTTGAACCGATTCGTAAGTCTGAACGAATCGATTTTTTAAATTATTTTAAAACGTTTTTTAAACTGATCTTTGGCTATTCAAACTCCAAAAGCATCCCCCACGATTTCGGATTTATTTTTCATGTTCCGTCTGCACTTGTCTTATCACTTTTACGTTCATTTTTTGTTTGTCACTTACATTTATCACTTTTGCGTTCGTAGGCTTCCTTCTGGTGCCGAAAACACCCGAACGGCCGAGTACCTGGCCGTCATGAGACACGGTTGCTGTATAAGTAAAGGGAGATACGGTCTCTAACTCGGTGACTCCCAAAAAAACAAAAACGCAAGAGCCCGGAAAATTGACAACAAAAAACATAATTATGAAAATCTTTGGAAACTTCTATGAGGTTTTATGTAAGTCACTTTTATCCAAAAAAAATCTGTTTGTGCTATATATTTGTGTAATTTGTAAGATTCATTCTTAGATTTTGTAAATTGTTTCAATGGTTTCATTCTTTTGTTTTTGCATTTGAATTAAAAAGGACTTGACCTGACTTGAGAGGATTCAGATGTTTATTTACAATGTTTTCTGAGGTTTTGTTTTGAATTTTAATAGATGAATTACCAAAAGATTTCAAAGTACCATGAGTACGAAGCTGCACTTGAACCAAGTGGGAAAATGTGTCCTCTGCATTTGACCCTAACTATGGAGCATGTGATAGCTATGCCAGCCAGGGGACTGACTCCAATTCTGAGGTGCCTTGGTCAGAATCAATGACAGGAGTATCCAGGGGCGCCGTAAGGGGGAGGAAAGCTAGGACGATTCCAAGGGCCCCTGAGTGACAGGGGCCCTAAAAAATTAGGAAAATAACTGGATTGGTTTGGACTGGGGGGCCTAATATGATATGCTTTCATGGGGCCCAAAATCTCTAGCAACGCCCCTGGGAGTATCTGACACGTAACATCCACACCATGCATGTTGTTTTAGAATAGTAGAATATATTAATTATGTTTTTGCTTAAACAACAATAAAAAGGGTACACAGTTGGTCTCCCACCATGTGCACTGTCATCAGCACAAAATATGTCTGATAAACGATAAAATTCACCATTCCCCCTGATTTGTTTTTACAACTCAACTACTGCACATAACCCTCAAAACAGTATTTTCACCCAGATTGAAATTGAGGACCTTTTGCTTGTTAGGCCAATGTGATAAGCACTACACTATGGAAACTGAACATTTATTGCATCCTCCTCCATTTTCACAGTGCAACTTGAAAACAATAAAACTTTTATGATGAGTTATTCCGTTAGAGAAGAATAACTTGTTCATTGTTTTATGGACATGAATCTATGCATCACAAATGCAGCATCCGTGGACTGAGTGACATGTTTTGTAGAGAAGCTTCTGCTCTGATTTATTCACTCTGCATGTGACCATTTTCTGATACTGTGAAATCTCTCGTTTTCAGAGCTGTAACATTTGCTTTCTTAGCCACACTGAGGTCTAGTTGGAAGGACCCATTAATTTTAAGATTCAAATGCCATTTTTTTATTTTTCTCAATAGATTTATTGTGCACTTCAGTAAAGTGATTTTAAAAGTGATTTTCACCAGATATGCAACAACATAGAGTGTGTTACTTCAATAATGTCTGTAACTGCGTAGGCGGCTCTCAAAATTAAGTGGGGTGCCCACGTACTGGTTGGTTTGGTATTTGAATTTGCTATAACTATATATAGCTATATACTCATGGGCATTGGAACCTGGGGCAGGGGGGCGGGTGCCAGAGGTGGGAGATCTCTCCCAACAAATAGATTTTGTTACTTTTAGGTTGTGTCCCTCGCCCCCTAAATATCAAACTGTCTTCTTCAACACCATTGAATACAGTATAATAATAATAATAATAATAATAATAATAATAATAATAAAACCGCTCATTATTAGTTATATGTGTACAGCATAATTTTTTATCAGTTATGTTAATAAGTCACAGTTAAAGTCAATCACAACACATTTAACTGCAGACAAAAATGTGACGTAGGCCTATATCCGTTAATGTTGGTAATCCTACATATCTCTAAATGAGCATTAAAGATAATGGATAATAGTAAGATTTTTCGACGATTTGGTTAACTTAAAACCAACAACTGAAAATTATGTATTTATCTGCGAGATTCAAAAAGATATAAAAACTAAAGAAAACTACGCAAATGTATTCTGTAATTCCCCAGTTTAATATTATAAAGTCTCTCACATACTACACCGACAATGAATGACATGTAGTTTCAAGTTTTGTTATGGGTACAGTATCTATTCCACACACAGAATACATTCAAAACCATTAAAACTGCAGCATGACGAATGTTAAACGTAATACCCCCGTCCAAAATTTTAAGACAACAATATATTGAAATCAAGTCATTAAGTCAATATAACAAATGAAACTTTACATACATAAGAAATGAAAAATTACATAGCCTACCGCATTTGGGAGCGTGTTTACTTTTCTTATTGAACGTTTCCGACGAAAGCTATAGCTTGAAATGACATACCTCGATCTCTCCTCTGTTAATTGGTCGTATCCATAGAAAGATCCTCTGCAGCTAACCTGTTAACCAGTAACCACAAAGAAAACAAAATACACTAACTGCTTCAGATCGGATAAGCAGCATCTCGTCTACAGCAATCGCGCCTGCGCCTAAAATAGTAAACTTCCGTCGCTCACTTTCTTAACCGTTAAGCAGCTGTAAGATCGTACTCATCACGAGCATCGCGAAACAAACTAGACAAGCGAATATTTAGACTATTCACCAAGAATTATTTTTTCGCAATATGAAGCGGAAGAGAATGCTTAAATACACTTCGATGCTATATGTTTCAATATCTTATTTTAAGCTATAAATCTGATTGATTTCTGTTTTTAAAGGAGCGTTTCAACGTCCATCAGAAAGGATATAAGAGAAGGGGACTCGTCTGGTAAGCAATACGGAAAATTTGATTTAGACTGAAGAACCGGGTAAAAGAAAATATTTATAATGAAAACTGGTGTACTCCACCACGTGGTTTTGAAAAAGGATTGAAAGCGAAAATATTCTAGGGACGTCACCCCCAGCCCCGTAATAATGTTTTAATTCGGTGATCAGGCAAAATCCATCCAACCATCTTCTCTGCTTATCCAGGTCACTATTATGGGAATGCCTATATGCAAGGTGAACAGACACGAGGCAGCAACACAGCCTGAACAAGATGTTGGTGCATCACAGGGCACTCATACACAGATGAACAATCATACACTATGGGCAATTTAGAGACACTGATTAATGTAAAAACATGTGGGACTGTGAGAGAAAAGCAGAGATCCTGAGGGACAACACTGAACACTGGGAGAAGGTGCTGACTCCAGACACAGAAGGTTGAGGTTGGATTCGTACCCTAACGCTGGAGACCTAAGGCAGCCATTCTCCTGCTAAGACAAAACGTCACCCTGTTGGCAGTGTGCATCAGCAGTAAATAGTCTGCAATGAAGCCTTGCGAAGTGAGATTTCAAAACAACAAAAGGTAGTTTAAAAGGGTCAGTGCAGACCCATCAATCACAGACTGCAAAATTATTAAATTTGTCAAAGGGAAGAGTCTCAAAAAATCATGACAGCATATACCAAGCACATTCTGAAGAACAGTGATCAAAAGACAAAGCTGACAGGGATAGATGGACATTCAAAAATTACAATAATGGTGAATCAGCACTTCATTGATCCAATCTCAATAAAAATTGTACTTCATTGGTGCCATTCAGAAGTCACAAAGTCAAAGAGTCATAATATGATAATGATAATGGCCCCATACACAATGCTAATCAAATTCAGAAGACGTTTCATGAACATCAGAATAAAATCATGCCCTCTCCATTCACCAGGGATAAAAAGCCTTATGAGAAGTTCCTGAGTGCAGAATGCAAGATATATTGCCATCTCATTCGTCCCCCAGAACTGGAGGCTTTTCTTCTTAACGAAGTTCAGGGGATTTGGACGTTCAAGACTGTAGCATTTTGAGCAGGAACCAATAACATTCATAAAAATAAAAAGAAATGCAAAACTACTAGATGGTGACCCTAAATGTGTGCATGGTTGTTTGCATATGTGATTGCTTGGTGCCATCTGCAGGGGGTACCCAAGAACAGATTCTGGGCCCCTTGCAGTTAAGGAAAATAAGCAGTTAAGGACAATGAATGATAATAAATATTTTGCACTAGGGTTTGTGGGTTTTTTTTTTTCTCAACCAATGGTGTGCAGGCAGTCCCCAGATTACAAACCAGATCTGTTCCTTAATTCGGACTTTAAGCCAAATTTGTTGGTAATTCACATACACATACAGTACATAATAATTCCATCCATCCATTTTTTGAAACTGCTTATCCTGTTAAGGGTCGCCGGGGGTCAGGAACCGATCCTGGAGTCTATGGGCACAAGACATGGAACAACCCAGGATGGGGCGGCCACATAATAATTATACAGCAATAATAAAAGTAACTACATACGATACTGTACTGTACCTTGAACCAATGAATCACTGATGCCACGCAATGTTTTCATGTACATCACGAAGTATTACGAACCATCATATATAACCCAAATTATTTTATATAATATACTTTATGGCAGTCTGGTCCAAAGCATAGGTCGTCTATAAGTCGGACATTCTTAACCCGGGGACTACCTGTAATCACAGAATGAGAGCCAAGACGTGCCTTGCCAGAACCATAGCTGAGAATCCAGGTGAACCTGTGAAAGACTGAGCTTCACTCACCATAACATCATGTTCAGCTTGGATCATCAGCACTGCCTTCATCAAGATCTGCCAGGAACCTAAGGGTAATGATAGATGACCAGCTATCCTATGTTGACCACCTAGTAGATTCACTGTGTATAACATCAGGAAGAATAGGCCTTATTTGTCCATGTAAGCAGCTCAGCTTCTCGTCCAGGCACCTGTCATCTCACAAACAGAATACTCCTTACTGTAAAGGCTACCAGCTTATGCTATAAAACTGCTACAGTTTATTCAAACTGCAGCAGAATGTCTGGAATTCAACCAGTCAAAAGGCTCTAATGTAGGGTTCCTCAATTCTGGCTCTAGTGGACTAGAATGCAACACAGTTTCCAGGTTTGCATTAGAGCAGGGTTTCTCAACCCGGTTCTCGGGGACCACCAGACGGTCCATGTTTTTGCTCTCTCCCAATTCCCTGCCAATTGGGAGAGAGCAAAAACGTGGACCGTCTGGTGGTCCCCGAGGACTGGGTTGAGAAACCTTGCATTAGAGTCCTTAGCGCTGGCTTTCAGAGCCATTAACAGAATAACACCTGTTGCCATTAAGTTGCTCCTCATGACCTACAACCCATCTCACCCTTTTTGGTCAGCAAACAGCAGCCATCTGGATTTCCCCCACCTTTTGAAAATAAGTCTAAGTCCAGATGTTTTTCATATGTTCAATACCCATCTCTGACTGGAGCACTACAACTAGCTCATCCAACCACTGACTGTCCAGGTCTGTCTTCTACCTGCCATCTGCTATCCTGAATCTGGATGATGTGAACAGGTCTCTTGCTGGGTTCTTTTAATGTTATAATGTAATGTACAGCTCCTCCTCTGATGGAAGCTCAGCCTAGCTGCACTAATGCCTAGCTAGTTCCTTGACAGCTCTGAGACATACGTTTCCCTCTTTGCTACCTTGCTTTGGAAAAAAGCATCAGCTAAATAAATGCAAATAATACTCTTGGTATGTTCAATGAACCAATATTTCATGCCAATGCAAAAAAAATCTTTGCAAAAAGCCAAAGCCCTCCTTTAATGGACACACCACCGGAATTGAGCTTCTGCTGAATGCAAAACTGCCAGCTTCACATCTACTTGTAACATGCTGAGCTTACACTGTCTGTAAACATGCAGTATCATACAGGAGAGTGGAGTTCATTCTCCATGTGTCATATCTTCAGTAAATAAAACCATTGAAAAGAGGCAGCATGGTAACCAGAAATGTTAGAGAGCATTAAATGGTAAATGAACTGCATTTATATAGTGCTTTTCTACTCCTACAAATACTCAAAGCACTTTACAATTCATGCCTCACTTTCACCCATTCATACACTGGAACATAAGAAATTTACAAACGAGAGGAGGCTATTCGGCCCATCAAGCTCGTTTGGGGAGAACTTAACTAATAGCTCAGAGTTGTTAAAATCCTATCTAGCTCTGATTTAAAGGAACCCATGGTTTTAGCTTCC